CCACCCCTGCCAACTTGACACACAATCATATCTCCTTATGTCACAATTTCCAAATGGAAACAATAACTAGGTCATGATTATGCTTAACATGATTTAACTATACCATGTACAATTGCAAACACATTATACATTTTAGTATAGGTGGCAAAGTCACTTTGAGGGAAATTCTTTTAGTATCTCAAAACTTAAATAAGATTAACTGTTGGAACACAGTCTAAGAATGGAGTAGTGTAAAGGAAATTCTGAGTGCTTATGAGAAAACTCCAAGAAAACAAGCCTTATAACCTGTTTCTTTAAAAACACATATGTTTTTGGAATATGCTTTCATGCCCCTCCCAGGTATAGCTGATAGGAGTGAGTTTACTTTAGATTATTCATTACAACTGACTATTGTTATTTGTTAATATGTCTCTATGGAAAAGCATGTTGTTCCTTGTGACTGAACACCTTACTAGTGTGATTCTTCTTAACTCTTAGAGTGTAAATTGCCTGATATTCTGAATAAAGTTGGTTATTGCATGAGACATTAGTCCACCTCATTTTTAGGCTCCATTTTCACATAAATAGTTACACAAACACATTCTTAATACAACATAACAGAAACATTTATGTCAATTATAATCATTTTTTAAAACTGATTCTGTATTTCCTTCAACCTCAGAAAGCACCCCAGCTGGTTTTGGCTCTTTTCCTGCTGGAGTGACTCATACCTCCATTACTAAAGGGTTTGTGCCCTTTGTCATCCTGCCTGGATTGGGTTGTTGTGGTCCCTCACTGAATTTAGTCACAGGACATAGTAGCACCAAGAAATTCCCTAAAGAATCTCCTTCATTCCAGACATAACCTTTCTTACCTCCATTATGTAAGAAGGACCTCCGAGTTCCAGCCTCGGTGTCCTCTCAGGGTCCAGGCAGGATGCTTACAGCAAGCGGGTAGGGCTGACTAAAAGAATCTGAGGGTGAAGGAAATGAATCAGCTCATACACCTATCATTCCCATGTCTCTTTATTCTTCAAAAAAAAGTTGTTCTCTTCAAAAGTTCTCCCAGATCCCACAAGATTTCCAGTTTATATACCCACAAAGACACAATTAGCAATTCTCTAGCAATAGAAAGGATACTAGGCATGCATATCTCAAGGCCAGGAAAGCAGATAAGATCTGACAAAAGCACCCGGGTGCCTCATGTCTCAGAGGAGGTGTGACTTGTAAAATGTCCAGGCAAAACTTTAGAGGTGGGGAAGAGTAAGGGACTATGATTTCTAAGAAGGGAGAAGGGGTGTTAGTACATAAAATTACATTTGTGTGGCTAGTTAAGCTAGAAGTTTGCAATTGATAAATGTAACAAATGGAGAGATGCTGTAGTTCTGTGCTTTCTATGCACTGGCTTTTGCTTTCACAGCAGCTGGGAACACACTGTTGTAGTAACCATGGCAACCTGCATAAGCTTCGGAAGGAAAATAAGTGACATTGGTTCATGTTAGCATTTTTCCCAAATGTTAACTGATTAAAGGGGACTTCTCAGTGCTGCATCAAAGGGAAAAGCTAAAGCTGTGTAGTGTAAGATCCAGAGGCTGCTGCTTCCAGCCTCAGGGTAAGCAGTTGGGTGCTCTTATTGCTGACACCCAGGTGAGAGGGAATTTCCTTTCTCCAGGAAATTCTTTGAGAATTCAAAGCACCCCATATATATTCTATATATCAAGATTACACAGCCAAATGGAGTCATCCTCCTTACTTTCCACAGATATATGTACCCAGTAGATGGAATAGTTTCATGAGACAAACACAGCAGTAGGAAACACCCAAACATATTCTTAGGGAAGAGATGAAGTGACTCATGAAAGAAATTACAGACAGGAGCATCTGATTTCCACAGCCAATGACTCCACAGCTTTGACAGGTGGAGCTCCCTATCACTCATGTGGTAGGTTGGCCCCTTGAATATTAGTTATACTGCTGTATATCTCATGGCCCTTGACAATTATGTATGGAGAAGCAATCCAATGGTAAGTAATCCAGATTCCTTATGATAATCTTGATCAATCACCCCACACAGCTAATCCTTTCTTAGTCTGTTGGTTTAAGGACATTAGAAGAACAAAGACCAGGGGGAAGTCTGAGCTTCCAGTTCAATGGAGTATTTGTATTATCTCCTGGCAGATGCTCTTCCCTCTCTGGAACCAAAACTTCTAAGCTAGTAGAACTTAAGGTCACAGGAATATGAAGCAAATTTTTTCCTAGTGAGTCACCAGGGGTGATAGTAAGCAGAACTATTCCCTTTACTAAATCTTAATTCCTGGATCCATGAATCCTGGCTATGGGAGAAACTTATCATATATTGGATGATTTAAAGCACCTTTTTGAGAACTCTGCCCTAGTCCTCTAGTCTACTGTCTCCTAATTGCCTCTGTAACTGTGTCTTAAAAAAGCTATTCCATCCTTCTATCAGGCCAGTTGCTTCAGGATGGTAGGGAACATGGTAAGACAGTGGGTCCACTGTCTCACTTCTCTGGAAGTGAATTCCTTGGTCAGAAACAATACTGTATGGAATACCATGATGGTGATAAGCTATTCTATAAATCCATTAATGGTAGTTTTAGCAGAAACAATATGTGCAGGAAAGGCAAATCTACAACCAGATTGTTTACCCCAGTAAGGATAAATTATCCTTTACACAGAGAAAGAGTCCAATATAGTCAACCTGCCACCAGGTCACTGGCTGGTCACCCTGGGGAATGGTGTCATATCTTGGGCAGATCTGGCACTGAGCAAAAGCTGTAGCTAGATCAGATTTGGTGAATGGAAGTTCATGTTGTCAAGCCCATGCATAACCTCCATCTCTGTCACTATGGCTATTTTGTTCTTGGAAAATGGTAGGATGGCTGGGGAAAGAGGATGGCTGTCCACACAATAAGCCATCCTATCTACTTGATTACTGAACCCTTTCTCTGCTTAAGTCATCTTTGAATGAGCATTTACATGGGACAGTATCTTCATATCCTTCACTCATCTGTAGAGATTCACATACTTTGTCCCAAATGTCTCTCTCACGAATTTTCTGATCATGATCAAAAATTTACAAGTTCCAGACCATCCAGTCAATCCACTGGCTACAGCCCATGAATTAGTGAACAATCGAACATATGGCCATATCTCCTTGCAAACAAAATAGATACTGCCCAAAGTTCTGCCCACTGGGAAGATTGCCCTTTGTCAATATTTTTCAGAGATGTCCCAAAACAGCTTCTGGGTAGTGCCTGCATAACATGCAGAGCCACCAGTAAACCAGCCCTTAGTCTTCTCTTTCTCTGTCAACTGACCATAGAGCACATGAGGCTAAAGGTGCATTTTTGGGAGCAAATGGCATTGTGATGGGAATAGAAACTATAGGTGTTTGGACAACTTCTTCATGCAACATGCTTGTGCCTTCATGACCTGCCTGGATCCAACACATATATACTACGTTCATTTGATAACGGATTGCAAATGGGCGGGGGTGATGGACACTCGGGAGGCAGAGGCAGGAGAAGCTCTGAGTTCCAGGCCAGCCTGGTCTAAAGAGCTAGTTTCAAGTCAGGCAGGGCTACAAAGAAAAACCCTGTCTTATAATTGATTGGTGTTGTGTATATCCTAATTACATATTAGTGGGACAGATAACAGCCAACTCATGTAGGGCAGCTCTTGCACATACTTTTCCCTCCCTCCAAGCTACCTCTAAATAGTAGCGGAAGCAAGTTTTTTTTTTTTATGTTTTCTATTTTTTATTTTTGTTCTTCATTATTAGGTTTTGTTATTGTTTGTTCTTTGGGAGACAAGGCCATTTTTAAAAGATTTATTTTTTTAAATGTGCATTGGTATTTTGCTTGTATTTATGTCTGTGTGAGAGTGCTAGGTTGCCGGAACTGAAGTTACAGAGGGGTGAGCTGCCATGTGGATACTGGGATTGAACACAGGTCCTCTGCAAGAGCAACCAGTCCTCATAACTAATGAGCTGTCTCTCCAGCCCCTAGAGACAGGGTCTTAATATGTAGTCCAAGTCTGCCTTAGACCATGATCCTTCTGTCACTGCCCACTTCATACAGAAGGTACAATGATAAACTACATCTGACCAGAGGACCTTCAAACCACAATGAAAATGTCACATACATATTCTCAGAGCTCAGGACAAGCTTTTCCACATTCGTCCAGGCCATAGTTTCTATCTACACAGCTACACAAAACACCTCCTTATTACCAGATTACTCCAGAAACGACTTACTTTCCGTGTTCATAAGGAAGTTGAATTCAGTTTAAAAAAAGTCATACTTAACAACTTCCCTGTCCATACTGCAAAAATAGAGAAAAAATACTTTCAGCAAGTCTAGAAAAATATATTTATACTCTTTTCAAGTTATACGCAGGCACTTTAAAAAGCAGAGGAAAGATGGCCCACAGTTATCATAAAAATGCTGTGATATTGGAGCTTGATACCAGGACTCTCTTCAGTATAATATTCATGTACATGTGATCATTACTCTTCACTTAATTGTTTCTACACAAAATTACTGAAAGGGACCATTCTAATTACAAAACTATCCAGATAAGAACTCAACTTGTTAAACAAACAAACAAACAAACAAACAAACAAAAATAGAGTTCACAAGCCTTTTGGCAGATCTCTGAGTTTAAGGCCAGCCTGGTCTACAAAGTGAGTTCTGGAACAGCCAGAACTATTACAGAGAAACTGTCTCAAGAAAAAACAAAACAAAGGAAAAAAAACCTCAACTCGTATGAAATAATAAAACAAACAAACTTCCTGTCATCTTCTGTCTTGGGGTTACCAATAGATAATAGGTAAAGCACATGACACATGCTTACCATCCCAGAATTTCAGAAGTAGGGGCAAAATGATCAGAAATTCAAGGTTAACTTTAGCTTACAAAGTGAGTTTGAGGCCCACCTAGAATATATAAGAACCTGTCTCAACAAACCCAAACACCCATAATATATGCATAGAACACTTACCTAGCACATTCCTCGAAAACATTTTTAGAGGAGGAATTCTCCTTCAGATTCCATTTACATTCTTTCACAACAGCTATAGGTATCTCTGGTAAGGGGACTTCTGACTTCTAAATATTGTACAAACCAAATATATAACAATTAGTTTTTTCATAGTTTACCTATCATACAAAGAATCCAGTGCCTACTAAAATTTTTTAAATATATGAAATAAGTCAAAGTACCACCCCAGTACCACTCACTCTCCAGCATTCAGCCTGCTTTCTGCTTTCTAGATCTGTTCTTATAAACTCAACTGTATAGAACAGAAAACAGGATCTCAAAGAAGTTACACACCCACGTCTACTGCCATATCACTCTTGTTAACCAAAAATAAGAACAGCAAGGCTGGGGATGACCTGTCCCCAGTACTGCACAAGCCTAGCATGAAAAACAGCCCATGTCCATGAATGGACGGCTGGACAGACAGAAAAAGAAGAAAAGAATTTTATTGGTAAGAGCTTATTGTGCAAGCACGTGAGTGTGTGTGTGTGTGTGTGTGTGTGTGTGTGTGTGTGTGTGTATGTGTGTGTTATGTGTGTGTGTGTAGATATAAGCATCTATTCATGTACATGTGGAGGTCAGAGATCAACATTGAGTATCTTCCTATTTTTGCTGAAAAACATTGGCTCCTCATCTGGATCTGGACTAACAAAGGACTTAAGGCTCACTTCACAACAACATAACAGTGACTAAGACAAGCATAATCCCTTACTATATTATAAATCTTATCCTTATACCCACAGGTAAGTGTAGTTACCGCCCCTCATCCAAGAAGCCTCTCTCTCTATAAAGCAAACAGAGATCATCACAGAAAACCTCAATTAGACATGATGCTGAGACCAATAGATCATTGGGAGCCCAGTCTCAAAAGATATATCTATTTTGCAGCTCAGAGAAGAGAGGGCAGAAAGACTATAAGAATGAGAATACCAGAAGTCTGCTATGAAACAGTCTCTCCTAGAAATGGCTGCATAAATAAGACCAGAAAAATGGTCATGTTAAAAATTATAGACATGTAAACTGAAAGGGGCAAAATTTTTCAGGGTCCCAAGCCTAGACAAAGAACTACAGGCAACTAATGACTGCTGAGAGAAGGAGAATTAGCCACTCTCAAGGCTGAGCCCCTTATTGACTGTCAAAAACAGACTGGTCAGCCCTGAAACCAGACACATACAAACAACAAAAATAAACTTGGCTGAGTGTGTGTGTATACATACACACAAATACATACATGTATCTCAACTTGAGACATGGGGGATGAGGGAGTTCAAGGAAGAGGCTAGAGGGAGGAAAGGGAGAGGGAAAAGTAATGTAATTTTATTCAATTATATTCGGGTGGTGGTGGCGCATGCCTTCAATCCCAGCACTTGGGAGGCAGAGGCAGGTAGAACTCAATGAGTTTGAGGCCAGCCTAGTCTACATAGTGAATTCCAGGACAGCCAGGACTGTTACACAGAGAAACCCTGTCTTGAAAAACCATTAAAAAAAAAAAAAAAGGCTGGAGAGATGGTTCAGAGGTTAAGAGCACTGGCTGCTCTTCCAGAGGTCCTGAGTTCAATTCCCAGCAACCACATGGTGGCTCACAACCATCTGTAATGAGATCTGGTGCCCTCTTCTGGCCTGCATACATGCAGGCATACATGCAAGCAAAACATACATACATACATGAGTATATATAATAAAATCCCTTAAAAAAATTTTTTAAACCCTCTAAAAACAAAAGGTAGCTAACAGCAGGATAAAAGCCTGGCATCTTTGTCTTCATTTTGCATCTCTCTTTTATTTTGGGTCAGATTCTGTTTTAACTCTACACGTAGGCATGTTAATCATTGATACCCAGCATGCCTCATCCCTGTCTAAGACTAAAAGCAGGAAGAGTATTCTACCAACAACTTTTCCAATGTCTAGTTCCCAGAAAAGGATCCTGAAAGACCCAAATGTCACCCTAAACCTACAGTCACCTGGATTGCAGGAATGGCAAAGCCTCTCTGACATATTACCCTATGATAAAATCATACCCCACATCTAAATAGAGTAGTCATCACTGGAGATAGATTGTGCCCTTAAGTGGTAAGAAGTTTTCTGAGACTAGGCCAGGCCACAATGGTGCACACCTTTAATACCAACAGAGGCAGGGATGCAGAGGCAGGTAAATGGATTTCTGTGAGTCTGAGATAGCCTGGTCCACAGGACTAGTTCTAGGACAGCTACAGGCTGTTACACAGGGAAACCCTGTCGGGGGCAGGGAAGGGGGTAAAAAGAAAGAATTTTTCTGAGGCTATCTTGCAATACCCAAACTGAGACAATGATCAACCAGCCAGACCACAGCTTGACTCCATTATACATTCCTCCTGCCTCAGTTCTTCCTCTGTTTAAACCTAAAGCTCATGTCATTACACAGATGGCCTAAAATGCTTACTTCACATATTCCTCAAATTTCTATTTTGAGGCTGGGCGGTGGTGGGGCACACCTTTAATCCCAGCACTCCAGAGGCAGAAACATAGACAGGCTGATCTCTGTGAGTTTGAAGCTAGCCTGATATACAGAGCAAGCTCCAAGACATTCAAAGTTATACAGAGAAACGCTGTCCCCAAAACAAAAAATAACAACAACAAAAATGCTTTCTTTGGTGAAAAGTGGTTAGATCTAACATGTTGGGATATATCTTCTACCCATGTCAGGCCTTTGGCATGGGACTCTACTTGTATTAATATGGCAATACACTGAACTTCAAGAACTTACTAAGTCAAGAGAAATAAAAACTGGGACTGGAGAGATGGCTCAGCAGTTAATAGCACTCACTGGCTGCTCTTACAGAGAACCCATGTTCAATTTCCAGCACCCACACAGCAACCCAGAACTGTCTATAATTTCAGTATCAGGGGACCTGGTGCCCTCTTCTATGTACATGTGGTGGATAGACAAACAATTAAGCAAAATACCCATTAACATTTTTTAAAAAGCAAAAACAAAACCCCAGAAGACTAGAGAATTATTGTGATGTGATAAAAAACAAACAAACAAACAAACAAAAACCACACAAACTAAGGAGAAATGTATAAGAGTTCCTGAGGTACACATTAAAATAGAAGGGATTTGGCCAGGCATAGTTTTAAAAAGAGCTATATACTTCATGTTACTTACAAAAATCTTTATTAGAAAGAAGAAATCATACCTCTTTGAAGAATCTATGTAAGATGGATAGCCCAAATTCTCTTTGCTCCTCTTCAACGGTAACTTCATACTCTGCCTGATTGGAGATTAGGAAAAAGAGAAAGGTTAGTGATATTACTCACCAACAGTGTTTCATAATGCTTTAAATTATCTGACTTATGACCTGACATGGCACCCTCAGAACCATTCTATGGATTAAATTTAAATAGTTCTCCAAGAATGTAAGGACAATGTTGGGGTAAAAATGTCAGGGAGAGTAGGCATGATGGCACATGCCTTTAATACCAGCATTTGAGAGGCAGAGGCAGGCTGATTGAAAGGTTCAGGCATTATGCTGGCCTGCCCCTGTTACCTGGTGGAATCCACTCAGGCAATACCCTGGTCAGCCCAAGGTTCCATGGGAAAGAAGTCTGCACGCAGGTGCAGAGGACCCCTTTAAAAGATAGGCTCCTGCCCCTTTACTCCTCTCTCTCTCTCTCTCTCTCTCTCTCTCTCTCTCTCTCTCTCTCTCTCTCTCCCCTGTTTCTCTGTTTCCCGCTCTCTCTCTCTATGGCGACCGGCCATGGCTGTCAGCCATTAGCCTGTTCCTCTTCTTAGTCTACCCATTCTACCGGCCCTTATAATAAACTTATAGTCAATATGTCTGTCTCAATATTTCTCTTTTCTTCTTTTTAAACAAAACAATAACACTGATCTCTGTGAGTTCAAGGCCGCCTGGTCTACAGAGTGATTCCAGGACAGCCAGGGCTGCTACATAGAGAAACCCTGTCTCAAAAAAAAAAAAAAAAAAAAAAAAAAGACAAAAAGACAAAACAAAACAAAAATCAGTGAGGGTGGATGTGCAGTGGGTTAATCTTCATTGTCAATTACAATGGATTCAGACCCACCATGGAAACATAGCCCTAGATATTTCCATGAAGGTATTTCTAGAAAGGATCAACTGGGTAGGAAAGATCAACCCTAAAGCTTATAATGAGGCCCATAAGCTTATAAAAAATGGAGAAAACAGGGCTAACAAGATGGTTAGCAGTTAAGTATACTTACTGCTCTTGCTGAGGAGTCAGGTTCAGTTCTCAGAACCTGCATGGTGGGTGGCTCACAATAACCTGTAACTCCAGTTCCAAAGGATTCAACATCATCTTCTGGCACCAGAGGCACCAGACATACATATGGTACACATCCACACAAACATGCAGGTTCTCATACATAAAAGAAAGTATTTTTTAAAGATGAAGAGCAGCATTCATCTCTTACTGCTTTTCACATTCGTCAGGAACCAGGAAGTTGTAAATGCCTATAACCTCAGCAATCAGGAGTTGGAGGCAGGATTGCTACAAGTTCAAGGCCAGGCCAAGATCATTGTGAGAACCCAGACCTACAAAATGAGGTACAGACCAGCTTGGTTACAAAATGAGACCCTATCTCAAAAAGAGAGGGAAGGAGAAAAGGAGGGAAATATGAAATCAAGACAACTACCAACTTTGCCAAGTCTAGTTTTTAGTATTCAAAAGCACAAAATCAGACAGTGCAACCCTGAGATGAATCACTCACCACTGCATCCAAGAAATCAATGCATCTCTTTAGACATGGTTTTGTATCACAGAATTGTCTGAAAAGATTTCTTCCTATTGGCTGCTTGTCACAAAGGCTGCTAAAATCCTTTTCTGGGTAAAAGGGAGAACAAAGCATAGTAGTTACTACATACTAAGTTCTATTCTTAATCTACTTTCAGTTTTCACTTAATATAATTAAAATCAAAAATAGTATTTCTATTGTTATTTCTAAACTACTGTTCTATTTACGAATTGAAATTGAGTTATCATACATTTAAAAGACTCAAACAGGTGCTGGGAGATGTCTGAGTTGGTAAAGTGCTCCCTACAGAAGCATGAGGACCTGAGTTCACATATGAAGCACCCACATAAAAAGCATGGTAGGGTGTTTCTCTAATCCCAGGGCTGAAGAAGTGAAGACAGGTAGAGTTCAGGGACTCACTGGCCAAATAGTCTATCTGAACTGCCAAGCTCCAGGTTTGAGAGAGACTATCTCAAAAAATAAGGATGGAGAATGGTCAAGGAAGATACCTAATGTTGTCTAGCCTATACACATACACAAATATAAATAATGAATAAATACAAATAAATAAAAGCAAAATAAGTGAACTGATTGTGGTGGCATATGCTTATAATCACTGCATTCTGGAGGCTGAGGTAGGACTGTACATTCAAGGCCAACCTGGGTTACATGGTAAGATCCTATCTCATAAAACAAACCACCAACCAACCAACACTAAAGTAGACCCCAAAACAACTAGAATTATCAAGAATTCACAAAGTATAACTTGAAATAGACTAAGACAGGAGCATAAAGGGAACTTTTTACTGCTTTACCCACCCTAGCTATCTAGAATAAACTGAATATGCAACAATGTACTAAATCAGATTTTAAAAATCTCTCTGTCTTGATACTTTTTATACTTGCAAACAACATTTAAATTATTTATGCTTATTGATTTATTTGATTTTTTGTGCTTAATGATTTTTAACTTCTCCTTGTATAATTATTTGCTTATTTTTTCTTTTCCATATAGAAAATATTGTATCCCTTGCCTCTCCTTACCTTAGTGATATTGTTGTGAGAATAAGGTTCTAAAGTTCAAAGTAGCTTGGCCAAGTGGTGGTGGCGAATGCCTTTAATCCCAGCACTCAGGAAGCAGAGGTAGGCAATCTCTGTGAGTCTGGGGTCAACTTGGTCTACAGAGTGAGTTCCAGAACAGCCAGGGCTACCCAAAGAAACCATATCTCAAACCCCATTCCCCCCAAAAAAATTCTAAAACAAAAGCAATGTTTATAACAAGTCAACCTTCAGCAAGAAAAGCCATGTTTAGCAGCAGGGAAAGTCAAATAAGAACAAAGTCTAATGATATATGCGGATTAAAATGCAACAGTGAAACCCATTACTTTGTTTTGTTTTTGTTTGTTTGTTTTGTTATGAGACAGGGCATCATTATGTAGTCCTGGCTGGCCTACAACTTCCTATGTAAACCAGGCTGTCTTAGAACACACAGAGATCCACCTGCTTCTGCCTCTGCGTCCAGAATGCTGGGATTAAACATGAGTACTACTGCACTGGCCCATTACTTTGGGAGGGGAGAGAAGGAAGGAAAGGGAAAGGAAGCGAGTGGAATGGAGAGAAGGGAAGGGAAGGGGGAGGAAGGGAAGGAGAGACAGAGGGGAGGGGAAGGGAAGGGGAGAGGAGGGAAGGGAAGAGAAGAGGGAAGGGAAGAGGAGGAAATTTTTTTCTTTAGATTTATTTTATGTGTATGAATATTTGAAAGTCAGAAGAAGGCACTGAATCCCCTGAAATTGGACTTTAGGAAGTTTGTACATCACAGTGTGGTTGCTGGGAATTGAACCCAGGTCCTCTGTAAGAACAACCTGCACTCATTATTACTGAGCTATCTCTCCAGTACCAGGAAGTGAGAATCTTAATAGAAAAATGTCTTCATAAAATTGACCTGTAGGTAAGTCCTGACTGATGATTGACATGGGTAGGCCCAGCTCATTGTGGGTGGTTCCACACCTGGGCAGGTAGTCCTAGGGAATATATGAAAGCAAACTGAGCAAGTCAAAGAAGCAAGCCAGTAAGCAGCTTTCCTCCATGGCCTTTGCTTCAGTTTTTACCTCCAGGTTCCTACCCTAATGTCCTGCTTTGACTTCTCTTGGTGATGAAGTGTGACCTAAGAGTTGTAAATTTAAATAAATCCTTTCCTACCCAAGTTGCTTTTGGTCATCGCATTTTCACAACCGTGAACTAAGACAGTGGCTGACAACTTGAATGGACACACATAGCTGGTTTCCAAAAGTAACTCTAAAGCTGAAGAATTACAGTAAGTGAGCAACCCATAACAAATCCTTCCATTAAAGAGTTTATTAGTATCAAGCAATTCTGGGAGTCTAAGCCATTCCTTTTAGATCATTGGGTTTAAATATGGAAATGTCTAGGCAAGGGAGCTAGAGATTGAGTTCAGTAGGCAGAGTGCTTATATAGCATACATAATGACCTTGGGTTCCATCATTGGCTTCATATATACCATGATATATACCATGAATGGCAGGCAGGACATGCCATTAATCTTAGCACTAAGGAAGCAAAAGCAAGATCAGAAGATCAAGGTGATCCTTGACAATGTAGCAAATTCAATTCCCAGCCTAGCTTACATAAATATATCAAAAAAATCTAAATAAATAAATAATTGAATTGTGTACATTTATTTATTTTTATAAGTCATCTCCAAGATTAGAAGGTTGGTTCAAAGAGGGACTCTGTCCCTACCTATAGAAGAACTCAAATATACCCTGGAATGTCCAAACTCAGAGGAACTGGTAGGTAGTCCCTAAACAAGAAGTTCACTGCTGAGATGCAGGCTACTGCTATCCTTATTCTCCTGATACTGTCTGCAGCTGGTATTAACAAGAGGACATAATCATCTTTAGAACCACTCCTCTGACAACTGTAGTTCAGCCTGAGTTCTGAGTCTGTTCCTGTTGTGGTTGTTTTCTCAGCCACAACACTTCAAGGTCAGAGTTCCTCTGCTGTGCAGAAAACAGATCTCACTCTTAAGGTTCCCTCCTCATCTAAATGCTCTTGAAGTATTTGGAGGGCACTGTCTCTACCTCATGCAGATTGTATTCTGAGATCAGAGCACTTTCACCATTTTACATTTTTCATTTCCCCTAAAAGGACACCATGTGTTCCCCTAATACTTTAACACATGCTTTCTTTAACAGGTTTTCTCTTAGTAACCTAACATGCTGCGCCCTATCCAGGATAGTAAGAATCAGAAATCGTCACCTTTTCCTCCCAAGTTATTTGGACAGCAGTATCAGAAGCCAGTAATGCTTTGAAAATGACAGCCTTGGATCTCTAGCCTCCACCTTCCATGAAACAAATAAACAAACAAACAAACAAAAGAAGCAAGCACAGAAATGGGACTTGGCTGTGGACATGATAGCTACTTGTATCAGCATGAAACTGGATCCAATTACTAGCACTTACACTGTGGTTCACAATAGTCTGGAACTTCAGATCCAGGAGATCTAACACCTTCTTTTGGCTACTACAGGCACTACACTCACATGTACAAAGCCATACACAGACAAATTAAAAACAAATTAAATTATTTTTTTAAACTTTATGTGTATGGGTGCTTTGCCTACATATATGTCTGCAGACATGTACACAGGGCTTGGAGGAAGCCAGAAGATCTGGAGCTGCAGACAAGTGTAAGCAGCCATGTGGATGTTGGGAACCAACATGAGTACTCTGCAAGAGCAATAAGTGCTCTTAACCACCAAGCCAACTCTGTAGCCTCCATATATACTAGTTTTTATTAATAAAAAAGTCAGCAATAATTTTTCATAGCTGCACTCTAGAAAACCGAAGTCTCTCCTACACACAAAAAAACTAATGAAGTTATATGGAAAACTTATCAGAAATTGTTTTAAAGCAAATAAAGAACTGAAGAACCAATAACATCTAAGTAACGATGTAATGTCAGACACCCTCCAGACATAAGGCACTACTTACTCACCGATGGAGTTTCTTAGCTCAGAGCACAGGCTGACTGGGGGCAACTTCAGAATCTCTTTCCACTTTCTACTACGACCACTCTTTTTGCTCTGTCCTGCTAAATTTAAAAAGATAAGGATTTAGGTTTAAAATTGGGTTTTGTTTTTGTTTTTGAGACAGGGACTCACTAAGTACTCTAGATAGGCCTTGAGTTCTGGATCCTTCTGCATTAACTTCCTTCATGCTGAGGTTACATGCTATATTATCACACCTAGCCCCTCCCCAAAACTCTTTTTTGTTAGTTTCTTTATTAAAATATTATTATCAATATGGTATTCATAATAGACAAGATTTTTTTCATGGTCAAAAATATTCCATTGTAAATATTACTATCTTTAATATATCATACTATTTGAGTAGATTAAAATCAAGTTTATAATAATTTCTCTCAACTAGGTATCAATTTAACTAAGTATAAATTTTCTCAGTTTCCATTTCCAAAATTTGTAAACTAGATCCAACATGACACTGTACAGTGGTACTTATAAACACTGGTTCAGCAGATATTTATATGTATTTTTAAACAAATATTTATTAAACACCTACCATGTGTCAAACACCTTAAAAGCACTGGAAATGCTAGACCCCGAAGTTTTTCAGGATTTATCTAACTTCTGTCAGCAAACCGGAAGATGGAAGGAGTTACTCTATGTACTGGCCTTTTTCTATCTATCTGCTAGACACTCTCTCTCTCCCTCCTCATCCCCAATTCTCCTGGCTATGGAATCTAAGCCCAAGTAAACCTTATCGACTTAGATCCAGCCAACGAACCTCCACCAGTTCATCTCCAACCTCTAGCCAAGCCCTCTGAATCCTCTGCTAATAGCCCCCGACCCTTCTATCTCTTCTGCTTTAACAGCTCCGGCTCCAGCTTCCTCTGACTCAGCCTCTTCCAAACGCCCACCCCTGGCTCCCACCTTTACTCCCCCTACTACTCGCTCTCCAATAGGATCCCTACCTGCCAAAGCCAATCCGGCCACAGTCCTCCCCTTGCAGGAGGTAGCCGGAGTGGATGGGGTAGTTAGAGTCCACATTCCCTTCCCACTGTCAGAACTCTCTCAGATTCAGCACAGATTAGGATCCTATACCCCGCTGCCTTTATAAAGTAATTTCAATATACTGCTCAGTCTTATAGTCTTACTTTCCATGATTTTAAGTAACACCTACTACATGAGGAGCGAAAGTGAGTTTGGGATCACGCGAAGGCATATGCAGATGAGATACATCAAACTCACCCAGCTCACCCTACCGGGAATGTCGCTGTTCCAGGAACCACACTGGGATTACAACACCCTGGGTGGGATTTTTGGCTAGGGATCATTTTCCTCATGACTGGTCTACGTAAGGCTGCCCTAAAGCCCATAAATTATAAGCTTTTAGATATATTTCAGGACAAATCAGAAAATCCCTCTCAGTTCCTACAGTGCCTAAAACAGGCCTTTTTGCAGTACACTAACTTAGACCCTGAGGCACCAGAGGGAAGACAACTTCTTATGACATACTTTTTTCTCAGAGCTGCCCTGACATTAGAGCTAAACTTAAAAATTTAGAGAGAGGACCCCTAACTCCACAGGATGAGGCCCTAAGAGTGGTGTTTAAGGTGTACCATGGGAGAGATAACAAGGTCCTTAAGCACAAATACCAGATGCTAGCTGAAGCTGTCTGATCAGCCTCTGGGCGTCTGCCCGTGGTCCCTTGCCCCTTGGGGCTCGAGGACCGCAGTGTCCATGCTTCAAGTGTGGTCAGGAAGGGCACTGGGCCCGGGGTTGTCCGAATCCCCACGTGCCACGCATCCGTGTCCAAGATGCTGGGAAGAGTGCCATTGGTCAGTGGACTGTCCCCATGTCCCACGTGACAAGAGGACATCAAACACAGACCGCCCTCCAGCTGACTTCTTAGCCCTGGCTATAGATGAGGACGATGAATGACAGGGCCCAGGCTCTCTTAACCCAACTACCGTTATCTCTGAAAGGGAGCTCCGGGTGGACATTAAAGTATCATGGCGGTCCATCTCTTTACTTTTGGACACTGGTGCCACATATTCAGTCCTAAAGGAGTTTTGGGGACCCACCTCTCCTCGTCTTCCTATTGTCGGGGTAGGGGGACAGCCTTACTTACCTCAGCAGACTCCAACACTTAGCTGTATTTTTAGGGGAATTCCCCTTACTCATTCATTTTTGGTTATACCAACTTGTCTGGTGCCTTCACTAGGGAGGGATCTTTTAGCTAAGGTAGGAGCTTCTATTTCTTTTGCTCCCCACATTTGCCTGACTCCAGACTTGCCAGTGGCTCCCTTCCTCCTCCTAGCTACTCACCCTGCAGGTTCCAATATGTCATTTCTTTTCCCAGCCTCTCAGGTAGACCCCAAGGTCTGGGACACCCAGAACCCTTCTGTGGCTAGACACCATCCCCCCCCATTGTCATTCAGTTACAGGACCCCTCGAGGTACGTTGCTCAAGTTCAGTACCCACTCCCACTCCAGAGCCTTAAGGGACTTAAACCTATTATCTCTGACCTCCTAAGGAAAATGTTGCTTTGTCCTACCCCCTTCCCCTTTAATACCCCTATACTGGCAGTTAAAAAACCTAATGGGACTTATCGTCTGGTTCAGGACCTCCAGCTCATTAACTCTGCGGTGGTGCCCCTCCATCCTGTGGTTCCTAACCCTTACACACTCCTCTCTACTATTCCCCCAGGGACATCTCACTTGTCAGTTTTAGATCTTAAAGACACCTTTTTCTCTATACCCCTCCACACCCAATCTCAAAACATCTTTGGTTTCACCTGGACTGACCCTGATACTCATGCCTCCACTCAGCTCACCTGGACTGTCTACCTCAGGGCTTCCTGGACAGTCCACACCTTTTTGGTCAGGCCCTGGCTTTTGACCTGCTCTGTCTTTCCCTAAATCTAAGTTCATACAGTATGTAGATGATATTTTACTTTGTAGCCCCTCCTTGGAAGTTAGCTGGACTGACACCTCTACTCTCCTAAATTTCCTGTCTAGCAGGGGTTACAGAGTCTCACCTTCTAAGGTTCAATTGTCTACTCCTCAGGTCACCTACTTGGGACTAACCATTACCCCAACCCACAAAGCTATTACCTTAGACAGAAAGAACCTAATCAGTCTCTTGCAGTTCCTTCTACTAAAGAGATTTTGTCATTTCTAGGAATAGCTGGCTTCTTACGCTCCTGGATCCCCTCTTACTCTCTCCTTGCCCACCCCCTGTATGAGGCAGCTCTCAGATCTCCACATGAACCTCTCCTTAACCCTGTTACTAAGCCCTTTCAGAGACTTTAACAGGCCCTTCTGGAGGCCCCAGCCTTTCATCTACCAGACTTAACTCATTCTTTCTCCCTCTATGTAACAGAAAAAGGATTTGCCCTTGGAGTTTAGGTCACCAGCTAGGACCTTCCTTTGCACCTGTAGCATATCTTTTGAAGAAGCTAGACCTGACTACTCAAGGATGGGCATCCTGCATACATGCTTTAGCAGCTGCTGAGCTCCTTACCCGTGATTCAAAGAAATTAACCTTTGGGTCACCCATCACTGTCTTCTCCCACCACAACCTGTCTCATCTCCTAACCTACAGAGGCTTACATACTCTACCTCCTTCCGAGTGCTTTCCCTCCAGGTGGCATTAGTAGAAGATGCCACACTTACTCTCCAATCTTGCCCACCACTTAATATCTCAAATCTTCTACCTCAACCTAATGCTAACTGCTCTCCAGCTCATTCCTGCATTGAAACCTTGGAGGAACTATTGCCCCATCCTTCACACATACAGAAATGCACACTACCTCAGACCACCTATACCTGGTACACATATGGCAGCTCCTTTTTATATGAGGGGACCTGTAAAGTGGGCTATGGCATAGTGTCAGATACCAGGGTGGTGGAAGCACGGGCACTTCCTGCCCACACTACTAACCAACAGGCTGAATTAATAGTCCTTACCCGTGCCTTCCAATTGGTACAGGGATATTCTCTAAATGTTTACACAAACTCTAAATATGCTTTTCACATCCTCCTGTCCCATGCCGCTATTTGGGCTACTTACTACAAGAGGACGATCCATAGCTAACTCAGGTTATATTATGGCCACGCTAAAGGCCTCTCGCCTCCCCAAAGCTATAGGAATTATTCACTGCCAGTCACATCAGACTGACAGCTCCGTTATCTGTAGGGGCAACAACTGGGCTGATGAAGCAGCTAGGACTGCAGCCCTCCAAGGCCCAGATCTACCTCACCCACCACAGGGAGTTCATACATTACAACCCACATCCTCACAACCACCTCCTGACATTTGACAAATTCTGTCCTACTTACACCAGCTCTTCCACCCTAACAGTAAGTCTCTTTCTATGTTTGTCAAGGCTCACCTCCAACCTACTTCTGAGAAATTAAATTTCTTGAAAACTATCACTGCCTCTTGTAAAACCTGTCAGATGTCAGACCCTAACTCCAGGGTGTGTAGCTCCCCTTGCCCCACCCACCAGGCTAGGGGCTCTCTCCCAGGGACTGACTGGCAACTTGACTTTATCCACATCCCCACAGTCAGGCGAGTTAAATACATCATAGTACTAGTAGATACTTTCTCAGTGTGGGTAGAGGTGTTTCCTACTACTAACAAGAAAGTTCAGACAGCCTCTGACATCCTTTTCAGGGAAATTATTCCCCAGTTTGGGATTCCAGCCTCTCTTCAGTCAAACATGAGAGTTTAACTCTCAGATCTCTCAAACCTGTCTAAAGCTCTCAATATTCCTTGGCATATTCATATTCCATATCACTCCCAGTCCTCAGAGAAGGTAGAGTGAACTAACCATTCTTTAAAGACTGTTCTTGTTAAAATGTAACAAGAACTTCACCTTGACTGGGTAAAGCTTCTGCCTCTGGCCCTTTTCAGGCTTAGGGCTCTCCCTAAACAACTGCTTTTCATTTCACTCTTTGAACTCATGTATGGGTGGCAGGCTCTAACACCTGGTATGGGGGACAAAAATAGTTCCGTTATGGAATGTTTTGAGGTCCAATCTCTGGATTCAGTAAACAGGAGCACCCGAAAGCTCTGGCCCACTATTGTATTGCTAATGCCAGCAGGTCTACTATGGTTTACCATGACCTCAAGGTACAATGCCTCCTAGTTTGCATCTCTATGGGCCTAAGCACCTGGGCAGAGGGGCAAGGAGTATAGGTAACATGAGGACAGAGGGTTAGGGGCCATCGAGCAGAGAGAACAGAAGGACAGAAATGGTCTCCTTGTAGCAATAGAAGCATGGTTAAGAAACAGTCGAAAAGTAAATAAAGAAGAGACTCTAGTTTTACAGCTCTCTAAAGATGACAAGATGCGTGTGTTTGGTCTTTATCGCCACTGGGTTGCTAGGAGGTTCCAAGCCCAGGCTCCCCCACTCAGGCAGAACCTCATGGCTGTCATGTCTTGGAGCTGAGACATGCCCAGTCACAACAACTTGGCCTCTCACCTAAACTCTTACTCTCCCTGACCACCTGCTTACACCTTTACTTCATCACCTCCGTTCCCTCCTATGGGAATTTGCTGACCACTCTCTACCTTGACCATGTGCTACCCTCTGTACCTCCCCAATTAATATCGGGGATCAAGTACTTCTTTCTCCTCTAGACCAGACCCCCCCCCATCCCTCTTCTCCTAAATGGAAGGGCCCCTTCAAAGTAATTCTTGTCACTCCAACAGTAGCTAAACTAGAGGACCTTCCTCACTGGATTCACTTATCCACCTCAAGCCCTTTACTTCTCCACCTTAGACTCACCCTTCATACACAGTTTCTGCAACAAGACCCTGTTCCCTTATGCTTCAGAGGATACCAAAATCATCTACTTTGCCTCCCATTTCAGAAGAATAAGGCTCCACTTCTACAAGACTGATTTAAACTCTCCTGCTTCTAATTACACCCTGCTCATCAATTTCCTAAGTATCCCACAATAACTCACTAAAAACTCTTAATCCAACTGGTTAGCTGTTGTTACAGGAATGCCAGCCTAAAAGCCATGGATCTAAAGATGCAAGGACCACCAAATATTTGTGCCTTCTGGGTAAAGGTAATTAGAAAGATTCCATACCACCTAGATATGATCTAATGTGTCTAATCTTTATGTTTTCACAAACTTTAAGGATTCTTGTAAGTTCCAGGGAGCCGAATCAGATCCAAACAGGTCAGATTCACTCCAGGTAATATTCAACCTTTCCCCGGTCCCAGACAAATAACATTTTGGAGTCATGACTCCAAGGTTGGAATCTTACAATCTTCCCTCAAATACCAGGACCTAAGAAAAAATTTTTTTTCTAAACTCAACCTTGTCCTCTGCTCTGCCAACATCTTGCCAGGTCTAAGAGGCGCCAGGGAGTTACATACAGCCCGAACTGCAATGAAACAACCATCTATCCCAGGACATGGTAGCACCCCAACCTTCTCAGGTCCCCCCATAGATGGTCAACGCCCCCAGGTCAGCAGGAAGCAGCCTTGAGATTTCTTAGTCCCTACTTCCCTAACCTGCCACGCCCAATTCCCCACCTTTTATAATAAACAACAGCCAGGATTGTAAAAACATACACCTGGGTGACCCTGCCCCCTAACAACAGGAGGGGCACGCACAGGAAAACTGCTACATCATCACCACATCACCCAACACACTTTAAGGCCTGCCTGAGGACTCTGCATGTGTGAAACCTCAGCCTTCCCTTTAAAAGGTCCAGCCTCTCCGAACCCCCCCTCCTCTTGGGTTGGCTGACAATCCAATCCCATCCTCCCCCCCTCTTCCTTTCTTTACACCAGCAGCTGCAGTGTAAAAGAATAACAGTGTTCCATCTCCACCAACAAAAAAAGTCCCTCCTCTATGTTCTTTTTTTTTAAATTTTGGATTCATTTTATTTTATATGTGTCAGTGTCTTGCCCAAATTTATATATGTGTGCCAGGTGCATGCCTGGCATCCATGGAGGTCAGAAGAGGATGTCAGATCCTCTGGAACTGGAATTATGGAAGGTTATGAGCCATCATGTGGGTGCTAGGAACCAAATCTAGGTTCTCTGCAAAAGAAACAAATACTCTTAACCACAGAGCCAATCCTTCTAGCCCTCTCCTCTATATCGTAAATAAAGGAAAGAAGAGTAATAAACTATACAATAATAAGTGATTAGAAATAATTAGTCATAATTAGTCAATAAAATTTCAATCAACAGGCAGGCGGATCTTTGTGAGTTCGAGGCCAGCCTGATCTGCGGATCGAGTGCCAGGATAGGCTCCAAAGCTACACAGAGGAACCCTGTCTCAAAAAACCAAAAAAAGAAAAAAAATTTCATTCAACGGTATGAAATAAAATCGAAGGGAAAGGATGGAAGGTGCTGTTGTGACTAGGTAGCATTGAAGGAGACCTCCCTACAAGGATCACATGCAGACACACTTAAAGAACTTGGGGCAACAGCCTCTAGAAGACTGGGGAAGAGGGCTCTGCTGGCTAGTTTTATGTCAACTTGACACAGATTATAGTCATATGAGGAGGGAACTTCTCTTTAAGAAAATGCCTCCATAAGATCAAACTGTAGGCAAGCTTGTAGGGTGTTGTTAATTAGTAATGAAGGGACCAGCTCCCCTTTCTGCAGTCATAGCGGCCGAACACGTGCTTCTATGACCTTGTCCTAGACACTAGAAAGTCAAATGCCTGCCTCGTGACAAGCAACCAATCAGAAGTTAGCTGATGGCACTATGCTTTACGACCCTGGATGTGCTTTACCGACAAGTGCACAGCAATGACGCACAAAGCATAGCAACCACCCTGGGAGGGCCTATGGGCCATAACAACCAGTTATGTTTGCCAATCAACACAGGACAAGCCCTCCAAGTATGGAGGCACACCAATCATGAGCCTGTGCGTACCCCTAGACACTCCCCTTATGCTGCCCTATAAGATCTCCGGAGGCCCTAGGAGCTGTCTTTTGCCAGCCATCCACCATGGCTGGTGGGTGAAAGACCCAAGCTAATATATATTAGCTCGTTAAATTACAATAAAGCCTCATGCAGTTTGCAGCAAGCTCTCGAATCCGCCTGGTGAATGGGGTGACCGTAGTCGTGGCCTGGGGCCCGGGATACCTGAGTTTTCCGGGGGGTCTAACAGTAATTGATGGGAGAGAGCCCAGATCATTATGGGTAGGGCCACTCCTGACCTAATGGTCCTAGGTTCTATAAAAAGGCAGGCTGAGCATGCCAGAGGAGCAAGCCAGTAAGCAGCATCCCTCCATGGCCTCTGCATCAACACCTGCCTCCAGGTTCTGACTTCCCTCAGCAATGGATTGTTGCTTGGAAGTATAAGCTGAAATAAACTTTCCTCCCCACCTTGCTTTGGTCATTGTCTTAGTTAGGGCTTTACTTGTGTGAAGAGACACCAAGACAATTCCTATTTAAAAGAAAAAAGAAATTAAATTGGGGCTGGCTTACAGTTTCAAAGGTTTAGTCATTATCATCATAGTGAGACATGGTAGCATACAGACAGACACGGTGCTGGAGAAGAACAGGCAAATGTTCTACTGGGGGTGGGGGGAAGAGTGCATGCTTCTGAGTGTTTTAACGGCCTTAAAAGAAAACCAAAACCTGGTTCTCTTCCCATTCATGCTCAGTACTACTCAAAATATATGGCTACTTCCCAGGCACCTTTGCCTGGGTAATTCAGAAACCCTAAGAAATTAGTATACATTCCATACCTTTCCATACTCTTGCAAATTAGCAGTGCTGAGGATGGGATGGTTCTCAGCCCTTAGTGCATGTTAGGCCAGAGCTACAGTTTCAAAACACAACAAAGGTTAGCCCAGATTGACCATTTACTGACACCTGCAAAGCAGCAGCACGAACCCAGGACTGGTTCCGTGGGATCAAAGCTCCCTTAGAGGACAATGCGGGTGCCTGGGGTGCACCTACCTTGACGAGCCTTCAGCAGGAGAGTGTTGGCTACTAGGTTCTCGAGTTCCATGGTCCGGGGTCTGCGCCGCCGACGCCGTGGTGGTGATGTTGGTGGCGGCTGTGGTGGTGGCTGTGGTGGCGGCTGTGGTGGCGGCGGTGGCAGCGGTAATGGCAGCGGTGACGGAGGGAGTCGAACTTTTCGG